TATTCCAGTATTAATTTTTTTATTTTTATATGTAAACACAAAAAAATTTTGTATTATTCAAATGTACAACATTTCTAAAATATGTATGATATATAGGTTCTATATATTTATAATAAAAAAGTTATATATACAGGGTGTCCCAAAGCACCCTTGACAACGCTCGTGAGCAGGTAGAGCACAGTAAACTGAACAGAAAAGTCCTGTATCATTTTTTTCTATAACGCTTAATAAAGGAGTTATTATTGAATAACGTCTGGCCAATCAGCGTCGACCTTTAGCCGCGCGCCTGGTAGTGTGCGTGAGCGCTCCGTCGCTACGGCGACACACACTAACAGACGGGCGGCTCACTGACGTGCGTCCGGCTAAAAGTCGGCGCTGATTGACCAGCCTTTATTCAATAATAACTCCTTTATTAAGCGTTATAGAAAAAAATGGTACAGGACTTTTCTGTTCAGTTTACTGTGCTCTACCTGCTCACGAGCGTTGTCAAGGGTGTTTTGGGACACCTTGTATATGTGTCATACAGCTAGTATCTTTATCATGACACTATTATTTTGATAAAATTGCAATAAATATTTTTTTATTGAGATTGCAGCTATAATAATTACAGTATACTTTTCTTATTTATAACTATTTGTATTCTGTTTGAAACTGTCAATTTAAGATATATGTATTATGATACATATCCAATCTCTGCAAAATATATACTGTTTGATGAGTAATAAGCAATGTAGGCATTTGAAAACAAATGAAGTAATTCATTACAGTATCAGGATGCTAGTCATTCTTTATAGTTATACTTTAATTGTCATATACAGCTGTTGACTATTTATATATTTTCAGTGCAAAAAGAATTATTGTAAATCCTACAAAAATTTCTAGATCTCAGTCCTTTAATTTCTCCTCTGTCACTTCTGCTCTTGGAATATAAATATTCTCCGTACGTTGATCACATTTGGCCGCTATGCGCGATACTGTTAATAGGAAGTCTGATAATCTATTCAAATACGTTTGTGCCTCTTTATCCAAAGCACCATCTCGCACTAGTGTTGTAATACTTCTCTCTGCTCGCCTACATACTGTTCGTGCAACGTGTAAGGAGGCACATGCTTTGCCACCGCCCTAATATAAAATTATTAGATAGCAGAGTTAAAAAAATAAAAATATGAAAAACAATTTTATAATATCTAAATACGTACTGGAATGATGTAATCCTCTGGAGGAGGGAGTTGATTCGCATATTCGAGAATCCATTCTTCGAGGTCTTTGGTATGCTTGCTTTCAAAGGATCTGGTTTTCCCAGGTATCGACTTTGATATGGCGTGGCTTAAATCGAATAAAATCATTTGCACTCTCTTAAGTTTATCGACATACGGATGTTCAATCTTCCCATCGCAGGCGAATTCTCTCGCCAATCCTATGTAAGAGGACAGCTCGTCGGTCGCTCCGAGAGCGTTGAAAATCATATCGTCCTTCGGCTTCGTGTCTCCGGCATCTGTGATTGTCAGTCCGGAATCACCGTCCCGTGAAAATACCGCTACCTCGGCTACGTTTGATGTTGTGGTGCCGCTGCAACGATGTCATCGTCGAGTCAATTGACAATTACATCTAACTTTAATATAATATTTTTACTGTGTATCGCGTAATGCATTATACTTATTCGTTATTCAATTACAACGTAATATATAATTTATGCCACGCGACGTATTTTGAGGTTACAAGGGGATTTAAATGTACACCTGTGTCTCACAGATACACACTGCACTCCGTTTTTGTATATGAAAGTGGACTTTCTCCATACGTTTCGGATTAATTCCATCCTGCGTTTCGATGACGATTTAATTAATTCTATTAACGCAATATGCGTTGATCCTCGATATTTTGTCGGGCGCTAGTGACATGTGACATCACTGAACTCTATACATACTGGAATGAGCGATCCATAGATCTAGTTTCCACCAAACACCGAAGTCGTCAATTCGATTCTGGGGCTCGATTCTTGAATTCATTCGCAAGAGAAACGTATGCGCAAATTCCATTCTTATGAGAAATCTACAAGTTGATTGGCTAAAAGCCATGCAATAGCCAATCAACTTGCAATTTTTCTGTAAGAGCAGAATGTGCGCATACGTTTCTCTTGCGAATGAATTCAAGAATTGGGCCCCTGTTTCGGTGCGCATCGAATTTAACGTACTGTTTCCACTGGAAGTAGAATAGAAGCGAGGAAGATTGATATTTCAGTAGAGCCAACTTAACTTTTGCTTGTGAATGTAAATAAACATGTAACGGTTCACCTTTCCCGTACGCCGCGGATCAAGGCTCGCCGGTGCCAGGATTCGGGAGAAGGGGGAAACTCCAACTTACTTTACCTCGATATAAGCGGTTAAACAATGCGTTTATTCCAAAAGTGATTAAAAGTTATTTAACACTGAAAGCTATAGTATATGTACAATGCAACATGCGAGAACGGTGCGTACAGAAATTCGCGAAAGCTATACTATTTACAATGCAACATGCGGGAGCGGTGTGTACAGAATTTCGCGATAGCGGTTCTACGCGTTGGCTGGTGCGCGTGGAGCTTGGAAAGCTAGTGCGGCTCGTGCGGACGTGTTCTGCGATCGTGGTGTTCGCATGCAAGCAAACTATTGTTATGCTAAGATGAACAGAATTTATCTTAGATACTACGGGGTGTTGCGTGGCCTTCAATGTAATTCCAACCGCCTGATCGCCTTATCCTTAGAAGGACGGGGCATCGGCACCTCCTGCGGCTTATCCTTAGCAGGACTAGCGCGCTATTGTAGTCTGAAGGCAGGGTGTAAAGGTGAAGTCGGCGTGACACTGGCGAGAATCCTAATATGGCTAATTTACTCTACAAATACAATGCGCGGTATATTCAGTGCGGTCTTATGGTACAAACAGATCGCGGTATGTACAAGGCGATGCTAGAGTCCCTTAAGCCCGTATCAGACTACGCATTGAAAATTGAGATTGAAGATTGAAGATTGAAATTTGACCAATCAGGACAAAGAAATTTTAGTTCCTTTTGTTCTGATTAGTCAAATTCCAATCTTTAATTTTCAATCTTCAAGTTTTAATGCGTAGTCTGATACGGGTTTTAGAGCGCGGAGACCAAAGCGGTCTTACGGCATAAACAGGTCGCGGTATATACAAACGGTGCTAGAGTCCCTTAGGACGCGGAGACCAAAGCGATCTTACGGTACAAACAGGTCGCGGTATGTACAAATGGTCTTACGGTATAACGCGGTACGGACTTATGAACTAAGAATGCGCCGTCCCAGCAACCGGGAAGCCCGGCCTATGGTCGACATAGGTATGTAACCCCTTAAATGTACAAATATCGTTAAAAATATAATAGCAAAACGCAAAACCGAAAAAATTGTTGATAATTTGAAGTCTTGTAGATTTTCAATTTTAATCGATGAAAGTACAGACATTTCAGACACAAAAACAATGTGCATTCTTGTTCGATATATTTCTCCTTCGAATAACAAAGTTGTGACCCAATTATTAGAATTAGTATCTGTAGATGCCAAAGATTGTTCCGCGAATAAACTTTTTAAAGTTTTTAAAAATCTTTTAAAAGAAAAAAATTTCAATTAGAAATATTGTCGGAATGGCATGTGATAATGCATCAGTTATGACTGGATGCAATAATTCTTTTATGCAGCATTTAAAATTAGAAGTACCGCGATTAGTAATGTTAAAATGTATTTGCCATTTCTCCGCGCTTGTCGCCAGTAAAGTTTGCGAAAAATTGCCTACATCTTGTGAACATTTAATTAGAAGTATTTCGACTTATATTTCGGGTAGTGCGAAAAGATGTGCAATTTTACGAGAATTTCAAGAATTCTTCAATGTGGAAAAGAACAAGTTATTAAAAGTATCAAATACGAGATGGCTTATTTTACAAAAATGCGTTGTTAGAAACCTTGAAAATTGGGAAGTTTTGAAGAATTATTTTATTTTAGCAGTAGTTGAAGACAAATTAAAATCTGCGGAAATCATTTTATCTCAATTGAATGATAACACAATTAAGGCATATTTTTTATTTTTAAAATATGTATTAAATTTTTTTAATAACTTTAATGCCTTATTTCAATCACGTAAAATTTTAGTTCACAAATTATTTGAAAGTAGTAAACAATTGATTCTTCAAATAGCTCAAAATTTTATGACTGTAAATTCATTAAAATGTATTAGTAATTTAGATATAGATGACGAACAAAATATATTAAATTTGGAAAATATATATGTGGGACCAGAATGTGAGAATCTTTTAGAATTATTATCTTTGGAATGTAGATTGCCAATTAAATTAGCATGTTTAACTTTTTATAAAACGGCAGTTCAAGAAATGCTAAAACGTTTACCGTATAAGGATCCTCTTTTTGAACATTTAAGTTTTTTAGAACCGAAAATTGCTCTTTATTATGAAAATAGAATAAAAATTAAAGATTTAACTCATATTGCCATGATTGTAGAAGATATAGATATTACTAAATTAGCTTTTGAGTGGAGAATGTTACCATCCATTCTTGACGATGAAAAAAAAGAAGAATTAGCTTCTTTAGAGATCGATGATATGTGGAGCAAAATAGTAGCATATAAAGATTTCAATGAGGAAATAATGTTTCCAAATTTAAAGTTATTGGTCGAAGTAGTTCTTTCTTTTCCTCATTCTAATGCCGAGGCTGAACGAATTTTTTCTATAGTAACTGATGTAAAAAGTAAAAAAAGAAACCGATTATGTAACGATACTGTTTCTGCAATTTGTGTTGTTCGGTCAAGCTTTCAAACGGAAGGTATTAATTGCACTAATTTTGAAATCGATGCTAGGCATTTAGAACTGCACAGTGCACAAAATTTATATAGTAATCAAAACAAATCTGATGAGACTTAATTTTGCTTTTATTTTTTTATTATTATTTTGCTTAGAGTCAAACATCTAGCCAATATTTTCTAATGCATGCTCATTTTTATTATTAATCATTTTTATAATTTCAGAATTTAAGTTAACGAAATCAAAGAAACATTTGATGTGGAAATTATTTTTGTAAATAATCGTTAATTATTATTTTTCTTATTATATTTAAAAATCTAATATAGAATTCCAATTAATTTATATAATATAATTAAATATTTTATATTATTTGTTATTTATTGTATTTATATTTTATATTGTTTATATTATGTTTTCTTGTTTATTTTAATTTTATTTTTATGTTACTTCATAATATTTCTAAACGTTTATTTAAAGGAATTTTTAATTTTTATGAAACAGATATTAACATTTTTTTTATTTTTATAATAAGTGCAATACTTAAACATTTTTATAATGTATAAAAATTTAATGTAACAAAATGTACTTTGATTTTATGAATATTGGTGAGGTTTTAGGCAGTTTTCCTTACCCTTGCAACAAATGTTGGTATTCTATGAGATTCTGCCAAATAAAATAATTTATTTTTATTTAAAAGTGCCTTTTATTTCATAAATTATTTCACCCTCCTTTTTGTTTTTTAGTTGATATTTTATTAATAAATATAAATTGATATACATAAAATATATTAAAATTTTTAGAACATTTTGTATAGGCGATTAACGGTGAACTAACGAACCCTTTTTTACTAGTAACGGGCACTTTACTGAAGTCACATTTGACGCGCATGCGCGAAAAAACCGGCCCATCTAACAACACTGCGCTACGCTCGCCGGACCGCCTTATATACCGGCGGCCGGTCTCCCATTCACGCAAGTTGGCGCGTGGTGGGCCGGCCCCACAGTTGGGCCGCGACACGGGTGTGGAAGTTCAGGGGCGCCATAGGCGCCGAGCCTTCGAATTGCGGGCGGCTGGTCGGCCCGCGAGGCTAGTAACGTATCGTTACAACTTCACTGACTAAACTCGATTTATAATTTTTTAGTCTATTCCTCTTAAGAGAACTGCACAGTCTTTTGTTAAACATCACTCTTTTGTTAAATATTACTCGTTTCCCGCTATTTTCTTAAAACTGAGTTCAAAAGACATATTTCATTGAGAGTGCAAAACTAGCTAGAACTGGTGGCGTTTCGTGTAATCCCGACAAAAAAACTCGAAAACAAGGGGGCACTGAGTGCCAGCAAGTTTTTTCCAATGGAAGACGCTATTAAATATATCATCATACGTTTAAATATCATACATTATTTTTTTTAAAAATAAATATTTAAAAAAAGAGAATAAATCTTAAAAAACTTGGACTCGAAATTTAGTTTTCAAAGTGATAGAGTGATGAACACTTTCTCTTGAGCCACTATGTATTGTTGAAATTGATGTCAACGCTATCGCAGTATACTTATGTAACATATACATATAACATTCTCGCATAAAACTTTATAAACCCTTTGTTTCTACATTAAAAATATGATTTGTAATTGCTCGATATACTTTTGTTCAAAGATAATAGATAAGGAAAAAAATATTTTTTTGCAGATATTATTTTGTATATCTTAGAAAGAGAAATTTATTTTATTTACCGTAC